ACTGTTGTGTTGGACTCTGATACAGCTCTTTCTGTTTTATAAGATATGTCTCTTTATAATTGTTAACATTAATTAATTACAAACAACATGCTCCTTCCTACAAACATTTTAAAAGGACATACAAGGCATCAGGTGGTATGGTGCTACTTTTCTGGTTGGTCAATTTCAGCTGCAAAAGAAAAAGAGGCCTTCACTGTCTCAAAGTAAACTATTTTTGTGACTATGACCAGTCACTTGTTAGCTGAAATTATTAACAAAAGAAGGATTCTTCTTCTTTAAGTGTCGTATGCAAAGATTAGTAAAAGAATATAAGATTTATGGGTCAACTTCTGCAGTGACTTAACCTACATATAATTCAATTAAAGTTAATAGACTTGAACTGGGTGTAAGTCAGCGCAGAATGTATTTGCAAGCTACCTAGTGCAACACCCTATTCTAAATAATATTGTAATATAATGCCTGTTTTCAGAAAACCAGTGTTATTGAAAACATACATTTCTGGAATTAACTGTGAAGGTAGTTAAAAATCACACTTCTGCCTAGAAAATTGTTACCCCCTATTGTTACTTATAACACGTAGGTTTATTATAACAGAATTGTAATAAGTATTTGCTCTTTTTTCATCTTGTTTGCTTTGTGCATTTGACAACAATGTGACGAGAGTCAATTTGACTATGTCCTGTGCTATTCACTGTAACAGCCCGTTCATCAGCTTCCCTTGTTGCTTGTGTCAGTTTTTCACAAAACAATAGGGAAAAGAAAAACATTTTCAACATATTTCTACCATTGGGCATCTTAAATCAGGCCCTGGACTTGCGCTGCCTCGCATACAAAGCTTGCATTGTTGTCAATGGGAGTTTTGCCTAGTAGGGAATGCAGGATCGGCTCCTTTAATGATCTGATATTGTTTCTAAACACTTCCATTTAACAACATCTATTGAGTTAGCCAGAGTGTGTATTAAAATGAACGTTTTGCTTATGCATGGAAAATAGATTGACAGATTATTTATCAAAGGAACATATTAGGTATACTTATGTGGGAGTCCGGAAACTGACGCCGAAGTACAGCCTACTTTTCAGAGCGATGACCTGTGTGGAATTCAGGCTTCTCAGGCTCACCGATTTTAGAGCAATTCAGTATTTAAAATCATTTACAATTCAAATTATTTTAGTCACCTCTGGCAATAAAATCCTCACGCCCTCTCATCGCTACTTCTTTCTCCATTTGACATACAAGTGGATCCCGCATTTCTTCCAGTATAGTCATGTGTATTTTTCACTGAACAGGGCACTTCTCAGTTTGTCGAGGAGGCTAGAGACAAGAGCAGCAAAGGTTTCTGCCCTGGATTATTGCAGTTCACGGTTAGAATAATTTAACATTGACCCTTTAGCCATGACCTTGTCTTGTGAGGACCTGGAAACTGCCTCCTTTCGGGATGAGAGCTACACTCTGTTGGCCCGATGCTGCTCTCATTGACTTCAGTGGCAGGTCCCACATTTACCTGAATGAGAAAAAGGACCGGGCCCGGTGACCCTTCTATGGACTGCGCACTTGAAGGCTGCTATGAACATGAACCTCCGTCCTAACTAGTGTCCTGATATTACAGCAAGAGAGTGTGGCAAGAACGGTGCCTGTTGCTACTTCAGCGGAAGGCAAGAGACTACAGCGTGGGGTGCCAGCCCCCAGACACATTTCCACAGCCCTGGGGTCCTACACATTGGCCTTGCAGCAGTGTCAAGGGAAATCTCCTCTTTAGGCCTCACCAGCGGCCCTCTTGCAAGCAATCTAGGGGTGGGTGGGGGTTGTTCCTCTGGGGCATGATCTTAACCTTGGCTGCCACACGAGAAACAAGAGGCTGAGTGTGCAAACTGCCGCTCAACGCTCTGCCCCGGGCTGCTGGGGCCTGCGCGGTGCGGAAAGGCGAAGGGGAGGGTGTGCGCCGACACAGGCCTTCCTGCTCGCCTGGCGGCGGCACAGCAACTCCGCCGGGCCTCCTTAAATCTCTGCCGTTAAAATGTGGGCGGGTATTTCAACTCAAAAAGCGCTCAAATTTTTTTTCTTTTCAAAAAAAGCTGATGAGGTGAAAACAGGAGAAGGGGAAAGAGAGAGACAGAAACCGGCCGGGTGTCGGGGGCGCCACAGAAGCCGCGATTGTCCGGGCAGCCGGCGGCGGGTTTGGCGGATCCTGGCGAGGAGGAAAGTAGCTGCTGTCACTGAGGCGGCGGCTGCTTTGCAGGGCTGGGACCGGGGCACAGCCGGTGAGCGGCCGCGGC